TGATATTCCAGGCTATAAAATAAGTCTCAGTGAATTTTAAAAAATGGAAATCATATAAACCAAACCATTAACCAAAATAACAATAATCTAAAATTCAACGAAGGAAATCTCTCGGGGGGGAAAAAATCCAATTCTGAGCTGGGCGTGAAGGCACACTCCTTTAATCCCAGCACTTCAGAAGCAATGGCAGGACATCTTCCTGAGTTCAAGAGCAGCAGGGCTACACAATGAAACCCTGAGTAAAAAACAAACAAACAAACAAACAATTGTTGCCTATTATTATTTTTTTTTTAATCTTAATAGAAGACAGAGGAAGGGGAAGGAAGGAAGGGAACTGGCTAAAAAGAGGACCAAGGAAGGTTGGGAGGCATGCAAGAGCATACCAATAGAGGCAAGCTTGCAGGGGTCAGAGGACAACTCTCTCAAGTAGTTCTCTCCTGCCACCTTGTGGGATCCAGATAAATAGGTTTGTACATAAGCAACTCTACTCATTGAATCATCCCATAAGTCACCCTTGTGGACTACATCTGGAATTGACTAAAACCTCTGTGAAGAAAATTTTTAATTAAATCATTTGAAGTGGCAAGATCACACCTGGGCCACACCTTTTCATGATCACCTGTAATAGTGATATGGAAGAGGGAAGATTTTGCTTTCTCTGCTTGCCCTTGCTCTCACTGGCAAGTTCATTCCTTCACTGGCATTAGAGCCTACTTCCTTAGGATTCTAGTATATACTGAAGACCAGCTGGGATCTCTAGCCTTCGACTGATCAACTACTAGATTCTGAGGTTTTCTGTTCACAGAGAGCCATTGATAGACTAATTGGATCACAGCCAGTAAATCATTCTAATACACACTTAGATAGATAGATAGATAGATAGATAGATAGATAGATAGATAGATAGATAGATAGATAGATAGATATGGATAGATGGGATGGATAAATAGACAGACAGACAGATGATATATAGACACATTCTATCATTTCTGTTCCTCTAGGAAACTCTAATATAAACCCAAATTCAATTATTAAACACAAATTATATTTTAGAACAACTTCTTAGTTAAAAAAAAAAGTAAGTCACACAAATTTTTACAAAGTCCTAACTGAATGAAATGAAAAAAAAAATACATCAGAGTTTGTTGGAGTCAGGAAGCTGGGCTCCATCTCAGCAGCAGAGCACTCACTGGTCTAAAATTTATGAAATTTAGCACAAGCAGTGCTTACAGGGAAAATGGCATTAAATCCTTGAACGGATGTTCTTTAATCTACAATGAAGTTCATCCCGATAAACTGAGCAAAAGTTGAAAACATCTTAAGTTGACAATGTGCTGAATGTACCAAAGTTTCCCTCATCATAGCTCAGCAACACCACACAGCACTGGCTATTTAGTTATTCACGGGGCAGACTGGCTGAGCTCAGTATGGCCAGCTGGAACCACAACAGCATACCATAATGTGTCACACATTTCTGGTCTTCCATAGAGACAATGATCTATGACACCATACTTTGGTTTCAAATAAGTTTTTTAAGTATGTAGCAAGTAAAACTAAAAGAACAAATACCAAGTGGCATATAGAAAGCATTAGATAGCAAGACATCATCAAATCACATTTACAGCATCCAGCAGTAAGCCACGGGGGAGGAGACAATCATACTGAAGTCTATTGCTAAGTTTCTGGCTCCTCATTCTCACTGCAAATGTTTTTATGGTACAAGATAAAAGATAGCAAACTTGGTTGGAAATGGTTTGCCTTCTAGCTGTTCTAAAGGTGGTAATGTTTTTAACACCATTATCAGTGCTGTTTCTTTTTTGCCTATTACGAAGTTACAGCCTGCCCTGAGACAGGAAGTTTTGGAGCACACTTGAAATAAACATGCTGCAGTCTGGGACAAAAAAGCCTTCTTTACTCCCAGAGTCTGTCTTCAACAACCCTAAGCAACACGTGATAACTATTAGCATAATGCACATTACAAAAAGTTGGAGAAAGAATCAAAATTCAAATTTGTGAGTGAAATTTCTATGATGCATACTACTTCCTAAAGCTGAAGCAAGTCTGGTACAAAGGAAGAAGTCTTGAACACATTACCTGTGCTGGCTGGAATGAGAACACCCCCACAGGTTTGTATGTCTGAACACCTAACCCGAACTGGTGGAAGTGTTTAGAAGGATTACAAGGTGTGGTCTTGTTGGAAGAGGCGTATCACTGGAAGTGGACTGAGATTTCAAAGGTCAACACCCATCCCAAGTGGCTCTTTCTGTCTCATGCTTGTGAATCCATGCAAGTTCTCAGCTGTAACACTAATGCCATCCTTGCCTACCTGTTGCCATACACTGTACTATGATGGTTATGGACTCTAATCCTATGAAACTATGAGCCCCAAATTTAAATTTTATGAATGTTATACCAATAAATTCAACAACAGTGGTAGAAATGGAAATGTTCCTTATTAAACAGCCTGATCTAACAAAATCAACTCAAACTATCACAAATAGTTCTATATCTACTCAATAAACATATTAAAACTTCAAAACACTCCATAAAGTTGGAGGAGAACTGCTTATTGGTTCCCTGCTGCTTAGCCCCAAAATAATCACACAGAAACTGTATTAATTAAATCACAGCTTGGTCCATGAGCTCTAGCTTCTAACTGGCTAACTCTTACATATAAATTTAACCTATTTACATTAATCTGTATATCACCATGAGGTCATGGTCTACCAGCAAAGTTTCAGCACATCTATCTCCAGCGGTGGCTTCCTGACTCCGCCCTCCTTCTCCCATCATACAGCCTAGCTTTCCCTGCATAGTTCTGTTCTTCCCTGCCATAGGCTCAAAGCAGTTCTTTATTCATTAATCAATAAAAGCAGCACATAGACAGAAGGACCTCCCACATCAATAAGCTATAATAAATTTTAACATTTTATAACATACTTGGATATACTTTATGAAAGTAAATGATAAAGCAGACTATTATCAAAATATAGTCTATGCAATTGTGATATACCTAACCTTTAAAAGATATATGTTCCTGCCAGGCGATGGTGGTGCAAACTTTAAATCTCAGCACTTGGGGAAGCAGAGGCAGGTGGATCTCAGTGAGTTTGAGGTCAGCCTAGTCTACACAATGAACTCTAGGACAGGCTCTAGACCTACAGAAAAACCTGTCTCAAAAACAAAAACAAAAAAAAATGTATTTCTATAATATACATAATATCTGAAAAGATTTTCAAAACTGTCTTACCCTGTCTTGGCAAGATTTGACAGTTTTTGCTTATCCATTTCCGGATATTATTTTGTCAGTGGTTGAGGTATGGGCAGTTCCTTGTCCAAAGGTCGGTTTTGCCAAGAAGAAGACAAGCTCCAAGTGGAGTGTCTCTGGTGCTCAACAATCTCTCAGGAATAGATCGGTGTTGGCAGAAGCGATTGTGTCTCACTACCACAGAACTCTAAGTTAGATTAAATGTCATTTTTACAGTTCTTTAAAGAGGCTGAAGATTTTATATATATATATATATGTATGTATGTATGTATGTATCTATACATCTATGTATCTAAAAAAACACCTTTATAGACCTGGATGGAGGGGGGAGGACCTTGGACTTCCCATGAGGCAGGGAACCCTGACTGCTATTAGGACTAGAAAGGAAGGGGAAGGTGTGGAGGGGGAGGGAAAAGAGAGACGGGGAGGAGGTGGGAATATTTAATAAATAAATAAATTTAAGAAAAGAAAAAAAACCCAATTAGTCTAACTATAAATATGACAAACATAGATGACTATTGATCTATAATTCATAATAGTTATCTAACTTAAAGACTAAGACAATAAACAACTGTGCAATAAATGAGGACAATGACTTCCAAATGTAAACAATGTACAAGCATCTTGATCAGAGGTAGAAATGTACACTGCGATATGGTAAATATATATATCAATATATAAACAATATATATGTATCTTAATTAGAGGTAGAAATACACACTGCAATATGGTAAATATATTTATATCAACACATAAAAAGTGTTTTAAACAGTTGCATACAATATTAATATAATTTAACTTTGTGTTCATATATAAGAATCTATACCAATGTAATTGTTTATAAACAGCCCTCTGCAGAACTAGGAAAGGAGGCTAGTAGCTGGAAGCGGAATCCAAAGCAAGAAAGAGCGTGCACAGCTACTGCTGCTTTAAAAAGCAGCAGAGACCACGCCCAAGTGGGCTGGTATCTTAAAAGGCTTTAGGCTGAAGGAGCAGAAGGAGCTCCTGCAGCATGTGTTGGCTCACAATCCTAGGAAAAGTCAGCCCATCACGGAGGAGAAGGCACAGACTTCCATCAGAAGAGCCCTCCCCCTTAAGGCTCACACAGGAAGAGCCTGCCTCCTGAAGGCTTCAGAGTCTTCAAACCAGCAATGCAGGCTGTGGGAGACATTTCAAATGCTAAGCATAACAGAAGTACAAATTATTGATTCTTATTTTGTTACCCAGTTAAAAGCTGAGTAATAAACTTCCTCTAAAGATAAAATTATATTAGATAGCAAACTGAAACACAAAACATGTAGAGCTCAGAATTCCCCAACAGTACCTAAGATAAACTCCTTCTGAGGGAATAATATGGAGCAGCTTGCACAAAACATCTCCAGTCCCAGTTAACATAATAGCAGAAGACAGGAAGACCAGATTATGAGACGACACTCCACTCAGCAAAATACGGATACTGATCTTGATTGAAAAGTCTTGAAAGTGTTTGTTTTGCCATTAAATGATGACCTTGAGCAGGAAGAGCATTAAAAAGTCTTTTATCTGTGAAATGTTGAGTCTATGATTCATTTCAGGAATTGTAATGGTTGCTGTGAGCAAAATAAATACTTGCAAATAGCTTAGGCACTGACGTTTTTATGTTACAACTGAAATGAACAAAGAGTACCTAAATATTTCTACACTTTGATTATGCACACTGAAATTTTCCTGAAAAAGTAATTTAAGTATGTACCTTTCAAGGCTGTAGTCTTTTCTCTTTCATCTGGACCTCCCTGCTGGATTTGTGCCATGTTTATCCAAATTGGCAAGAAAATTAAAGAGCTCAAGGAAATAGACATCGATCTTCAGAAGACAGTCTAGAATGAATGAAAGTGATAAATTAAGCTCTACCCAAAGCCTACCTACTCTATGAAAGATTCTGAACTCCTACAAAAGAAAGAGAATAACTTCCTACCTTGATGCCACTCTACTTTGTGGATGTCTACACCTTATTATTTACCTGCTTCAAATGATAGTATCATGTGTCATCTTATTCAGCTAGGAGCTTACAGCTTTCTGTTGTTGTTATAGCATGAATAGCACCAAACACAAATTCTTTGCTCAACTAAACTTAGCTCCTAATCAGCCAATGGTATTTGCTTGTGTGTGGGCCTGTGTGCATGTTTGAGACACACTTTGTCTATGTAGCCCAAGCTAGCTTAGACTGCATAATCCCTTTTCCTCAGTTATGATCATCTATTTTAAATCTTCAGGTAATTTTGAAAGTGAAATTTAATGTAAACTGTAAGTATGTGCCATTTAGAAGGTCAGAATATTCTCATCTAAAATGCAAGATAGTTACTAAGGGAAAAATACATAAATGTATAAAGTAACTATAAATAGACTAAAGTTTAATTAAAAATACAACTTTACAAAAAAAGAAGCTTTTAAAAAGAAACTATGCTTACTTCACTGTCTGAAAGCTATACTCTATAAATGGCACTCCAGTAAATAGCATACTATAAAATTATGATTTCTTAAAAATTAAAAAATCTAATTCTGCTCCACTCAAACCAAAGGCATTAAAACTATAGTTTCACAAGCTGCTTATGTGCAAGAATGAAAACAACTAATTCTAAAGTTTGAAAGAAAAGGTTGCAATATACAATGGAAATACTTATATTTAGATCACACATAGTAAAAATTATATCAAAGCCATGTGTGGTAGTGCACTACACTGAGAAAGGTGGATTACAAGTTTGAGGCCAGCCTGCGCTACAAAGCAACTCAAACTCTATCTCAAAAACTGAGAGTGAACAAGAAGAAAAACCTACACTGATAAATGTTTGAATGCTTGGTAACTATTTCATGAAACTATTGAGGAAGGATTAGGAGATGTGGGCTTGTTGGAGAAGGTGTGTTACTGGCTTTGAGGTTTCAAAATCCCAAGCTGGACCCAGAGTGACTCTCTGTCTCTTTCTCTGTCACTCTCTCTCCCTCTCCCTCTGCCTGCAGATCAGGATGCATAGCTCTCAGCTATTGCTCTAGTCCCATGTCTGTGTGCTTCTGACATGATGATCATGTCATCTAAAACTGTAAGCAACCCCCAATTAAATTTTTTCTTTTAAGTATTGTCTTGGTCATAGTGTCTCTTCACAACAATAAAACAGTAACACTCCCCCATCAATCACTAATTAAGAAAATGCCCTACAGCTTTGCCTACAGCCAGGTCTTATTTTTCAGTTGTGTTCCCTCCTCCCACATGACCCTAGCTTGTGTCAAGTTGACATAAAATTAGCCAACACAACCACTAAGTCATGTTTCAATAGCCCCAAATTATCTGATTCCTGAATGGAACAATTATATAATTATTTCACTGTAGCTGTATTAATAAAGAGTATGTTTGGGTGCAAAGGTCACATTTAAGATTAACATTAAAAAATATATTAGTTTATTTTATTTGAGTGTACCTGAGTGGAGGTATGTGCATCTTACACATCAAAAAGTCTGGGGAGGTCAAAAAAGAAATCAGATTCCCTAGATCTGAAGTTCCTGATCCTCTGTTACAGCAGCAAGTATTCTTAATACTAAGCCATTTCTCCAGAATAAATTCAATTTTAGAGGATCTTTTTCTTAATTTCATGATTAAATAGCAACCAATAATTACTATTTTTATTTTATATGAAACCACTAAAATTCATTCATTGAGCATTGTTATGATGATGACATATGGGCTGGAGATTTAATAATTTCTACAGGTAGCCCTAACCCCTACAGGAGCACACCAAGCAAGTAGGCATGAAGTAAAGATAATTGGTCTGTCACTCTTCTGTCCTGTTTAGACTTTACCCTTGTGAGTTATTTTTCCATGGCTGCATCACAGCTGATGAAGGTAAGTCAGAAGCATTATAAATTCTCAATTGAGTTTTTCTAATAGGAATTCAGAGTTATAACCTGCATGACCACAGATAAACATTAGTAAAATTCAGCCAGCAAGGATTTGGTACATGTGATATATACTGCTATGTGCACTCAACACAGTTTATCTGATGGAGATTAGGTTACAGGGAATAAAACGGTGATGTGAACTGGGACACAACTGACAGGTTGCATACTTGATGGCAACCACTGCGGTTTAAATGTGGTTTCCTAGAAATGGTTACAGTACAAACGAGATGCAAACATTTCACTTTGCACTTTCATTCCGTGAACTACACAAAGCAATTATCATTTTTTTCCTTTCTATGATTCCAACAGAGAATCTACTGCATAGAATAAAGTTATAAACAACTTGCCATGTGTAATCTTTATCCAGTCCGCATTTCAAAACACAGAATAGAAAATTTATTTGCCCTGTTTGCTCAAAATATGTGTGAGCACATATAAATTGTACAGAAAGATACTGAATGGCCTATTCGTCCACATTTATTTGGTCTTAAGCAGGTATTAAATACAAACTAGATAGACATGATACTTCCATCATTTCCTGAATACACAAATGAACATACAAAATATGGTCCAGAACAAGTGAAACTGAGATCATTAGATCTCAAAATACTGGGAATGGTCTGAGTTGAGCCTAACCACAAAGAATCTATATTCAATAAGTCAAGCTCTGGAATCTGAGTTCAAAATAGAGGACTTGCAAGTAAGAGTCCACTGAGTCAAACTGGTACTGGCAATTAATGAAGAACTAAAGATCTGAAGAAATTATGATCAAAAAAGCAATGCGGCACTTAGTAAAGGGCAGCTCAAACTAATGCTAGGCAGAATTTAATTCCACAGCTATGAGAAAATGTGTATGTTTTGGTGTGTATGTGTGAGCATATATGGACGTTCATACAGGCACTGAGGAGAAGCTGAACGATGAAAACATCAATCTGAAACAGGGAAGACACACAGTGTATTCTTGGTATACAGAAAATTCAGTTTCTACAAGGAATATAACTGTAACCAGACAAAAGTTTATATCAGAGTAGGAACACCTAATTCAAGTCATCTAAAATAAATCCTTACTTTCCTTGTATGAAGATGCAACTGATTCAGATGAGAAATTTAGATTTTGAATCTCTGTTCCACTATCTACTAGTTAGTGAACTATCATGAAAGAACGTACATAAAATTAGATTATAAAATATAAATCTTTAGAAACACTAGTGATTCATAGAAAAGCAGAAACAAAGCTGAGTGGGGTGGTACATGAGTGTAGTCCTAGGTCTTGGGAGACTGACAAAGCAAGCTCATTAGTTCAGGGCCAACCTGGGATACATATTAAAACTATATTTGAAAAAAAAACAGAAGTAATGGAGTTTCCAGATACTTGTGCTCAGAATTCCAAGATACTAAAAGTGTACAAGTGAGAAGGTAGAATGTGTCACTTACATGCACACCACAAGCAAAAAGTAAGATACCACAATAAGCACCTTTGTGTTGACTTGACTGCTAAGATTATAATGAAAAGGTTACAATAAAATCAACACTAAATTTGACAGTAATTTGTTTTCTTACAATCCTTCCAAACCTCTGTGTTGGTTTCTTCACTGTCACTATAAGTAAACACTGACCAATACTGAATGAAGAAGGCACTTCCTTCATCTCACAACTCTGGACAAGAACTCAAGGCAGGAGCCTTGGGGCAGAAAGTGAAGCAAAGACAATGGAGGAATGCTACATACTGGCTGGCTTTTATTATTTTATTATTATTATTATTATTGGCAATATGTTTTCTCATATAATATACTCTGACTATGGTTCCCCTCACTCTATTCCTTCAGTTCCTCCCCACTTCCTTTCCTATCCAGATCCACCCCTTTTCTGTCTATCATTAAAAAAACAAACAGGTTTCTAAGGGATATTATATAATAAATACAATATAATATAATATTTAAACAAAACATAATAGTACAAAACAAATGAGCAGAAGAAAAAGAGTCCCAAAAGGAATGCAAGAAACAGATATAGACACAGAGACCCATTAGTTAGCACACACAGGAATCCCATAAAAGCACAAAACTGGAAGCAATAATATATATGCGAAGGATGTATAGGGGGAGAGGGAGAGAGAGGAAGAAAGGGAAGAAAGGAGAAGGGGAGGGAAGGGGGGACTGACATGACATTACGTATCAAGGAACCTCCAAACATGCCGGTGAGTTGGCCATCTACTGCCACACATAGGATGCTCTCCACAAAGTGAGAGCAAGACCTATTACTAAAGACAACCCCTACACCTACACAACTCATTAAACCCAAAGAAGTAAAGCCAGTGCCTACATGGAGCCTCTTCTTTCCCCTACGCAATGGGCTAGTATTCTTGGTATCAAAAAGTACTATGCAGGCTATCAAAGGAGAAACATAATACCAACCCAATCTCAAACCCCTAGATCTATAATGATAGCCTACCTGTTATATATGCTGGTACAATGGTACCATGGTACATGGGTTGTGGGAGTAATTTGACTTAAGGCCCATTCCACAAGATAGAACCTGATAGTACCTGATGTTGCTTGGGTGACCAAGAACCTGAAACTGGACATCCCAGAGACCTTAGAGTAAAACCAAATACTACTGTTCTGATAAAGGAACATAGCAATAAATGATTATTAATGATATTCTGCACTTATGTCATAGATAAGTGTCTTGCTCAGCCATCATCAGAGAAACTTCCTCCTACAGCAGATGAGAACAAATACAGAGACCCACTGCCAGACAATATACAGAGAGTGAGAGATACTGAAATACTCAGCCCTAAATGGAATGTCACCAACAAATCCCTCCCCTCAGGGTTCACGGAATTCTGTGAATGAGGAGGCTTGCCTTTTTATACAACGAAGGACCATCTGTCCAAGTGTAGCACTGCTCAGTGAGGTAGAGACCCTCC